TGAAGAAACATTTAGTGATTTCCCCCCACTCCTGTCCTTTTCACCTGGTTTTGTGAAAGTTGGATCAGGATTCTTAGTCACGTATTTGCTTAACAGAAAAGGAAGATCAACATTTCTTGATTGTAAGCAAGTTTTTGTTTGTTCCTTTTTTACTGTGTTCATTATACAGAAGAAGCCCTTTAGGACACTGGTTCTCAACTTTCCTATAGCTATAAACTTTTAATACAGTTCCTCATGTTGTGTGACCCATAGAACCATAAAAATATTTTTTGTTGGTGCTTCATAACTGTAATTTTGCTACTGCTATGTTTTGTAACAGCAATATTTGTGTCTGCTGATGGTCTTAAGTGACTCCCCTGAAAGGGTCATTTGACCCCAAAGAGCTCACAACCCACAGGTTGAGAACCACTGCTTTAGGGCCTCACACATTGATCATGAGTCAGACCTGCATTTAAAGAGCAGGTATCTGGAATAAACTTTCTGGATTAGAGTGTAACTATACTGTTTATTTTGGTGAACTTTGTGTGGTTATTTGAATAAGAATGGCTGCTATAGAGTTATACTGGAATGCTTAGGGAGTGTCATTACGAGGTGTGGCTGTTTTGGAACAAGTCTGCCACTAGAGTGGGCTTTAGAGCTTCAGATACCTAAGCCAAACCCAATGTCTTCCTCTCTTCCTTCTGTCTGACAATCTGATGTAAAACTCTTGGATCCTTGACTAGCACCATGTCTGCCTGCACACCACCAGGGTTCCTGCCATGACAATGATGGGCTTATCCTCTAAACCTGTAAGCCGGGCCCCAATAAAATGTTTTCATTTATAAGAGTTGCTGTGGTTATGGTGTTTCCTTACAGCAAAAGAAATACTAAGACACTTGTCTCAGCTACTTAGTTTCTGAACATGTAATGCTCTTCATACGGGAATAACAGTGATGTACGCAGCTATTTATAGGACTGAGTGAGGATATAGACCATAGACTCTGTTTATCCACTCTTACACACACCCACACACACATTAAAACTGCCTATATATTATAGATAAATTTTAATTACTTACTGAAATTAGTGATGATAGGTTCAAACTCTTCAGTAGCTAGACCCTTGTTCATCTTCCCTGCCTTCTTGTGTTCTGTTGCACTTCCTGTGTGTCCTCTGTTGCAATTTCTATGTCTCTGATCCACTGAAGTCAGATGATGTTTTACTTCCATACTCTATTATCCTTCCTTCCTGTATACAAGCATGCTGCACTGTGGGTACAATTCACCATTAACCAGCCACAGTGTATTTTCTACTTAATTTCTGCCAGGGAAAACGGAGCACTGCTACATTTGTGTCCCCAGACAAACATTTCATAGAAAGTTCTTCATTAGTCTGCCTCTCCTTCTTCCCCTAGATATGACCCTTTCAAGGGCAAGTAGAATGTGTTAGAAACCCTGATATTCATAGCACTTAGCTGCTCTTGGTTACACAGAAGGCATTTAGAAGAATGCATGTTGAATTAATGTGGTCGTGAAGACCCAGTTGAGTAATTGTGAAGCCATAAAATTCGATCTGAAGTACAGCCACAGGAATTGACTTTGTAACATCTTCTGGAAGCAAATCTCATTTATTACTATAAATGGCATAAAGTAATTGTCATTATTTGTTCAAAAGTCATTGGCCTTTAATCACTTCTAGAGATCTGAATCAAGAAGCATGATTGTATGACCAGAATGAAGTTTTGAATATACCTAAGATCATATCAGAAACATCATTTAATTTCCTCTAAAGTTTTTTCCTTTCAAAGTAATGTTTCCTTTCCTATTTCTCTATTCTTTGGATTTATTACACAATGCAGTGGTATGATTAATGATTTATAGTCTCTTTGATCAAGTAAATAAACATTAATTGAAAAAATATATAAAACTAGTAGGTATTTGTTTTACTCAGATGTTCTTCAGTGTCCTGTGTAAATATTCATTTTTTTATTACTCAAATAAACACCTCTATAGAGAAAAGAAGTAAAATATTTTAATTTACCAATGTTTTGACCTATGAGGTGTCATGGAGGGTAAAAGTACTTTGCCATGATCGCAATATCCTGACTTTGAGCCCCAGAAACCACATAATGAAAGCAAAGCAAGTAAAATGGATTGTTCTCAGACCTCTACACACAAGCTGAGGAACAAGCACACTCACATCTGCATACACCCATACACCCACACACGCACGCACATACACACACATACACACACACATACACACGCACATACACACATATACATTTATACACAATAAATAAATCTAAAAAAATTTACAATGAGGAAATAATAAAATTGATTATGGACAGATGACTCAGTGGTTAAGAGCACTGGCTGGTCTTCCAATAACTCAGGCTCAATTCCCAGCTTCCACGTGGCTGCTCAGAAACCCCTGTATCTCCAGTTCCAGGATATCTGAGCATTCTTGGCCCCAATAGGCAACAGGCACACAAATAGTGATAAGATGTACTTGCAGGCAAAATACCCATATACACAAAATAAGAAGTTAAAGATTAAATGAAACGATAAAATTAATCAAATTTAAAATATTTCACAAATCCAAACACCTTCTTTCTGAAAACAATGTCAACAATTTAACCACCTCCATGCAACTATTACAATGATCTTTTGGATGGCCGTGGTTTCTGATTTTAATCAGATCATGTTCATCCCATAGTCCAACCCTGTCTATCCCATAGTTCTTTGAGAAAAATCTGAGCTTCTTAGAATGAACTTCAAGCCTTCATGGTATGATGCAGTCTACCCAACTAACCCCACTTCCCATCACCTCACAAGATACAGGTACAGTGACTTTTTTTTTTTTGTCTTTGAGTATATATTATTTGTTTTTGACCTGTGGATTTTGGTAGTGTGTACTTTTCAGCATGGAAATTCTAAAATGTAGGGTCAGGTCCTTTAAATTCAAACAGGACTTGCTCCATGAGACTTAGCGTTCCCAAACTGAACCCTCCTCTTTATTAATATCTGTTATGTCAAGAATAACAACTAACACATTGCATGCATTATTGAAATAAAATGCTGTTTTGTGGTTTACCATTTCAGCAGCCCTAAATATGAGGCAATACAATTCTACAGAAGAAATTCTACCAACTACAGCACTTTCACTATTCTTTTTAACGATGCTGAAAATATTAACAATATTAATGCTGAAAGATTAACAATATTGAAAGTAGATACCTAAGCCGAATAATCTTAATATGATTCTCAGGAATCCATGTATAATTAAAGTCTACAACTAACAAATAAGGCTTTGTGATGGCAGGGCTACAGTTGTCCATGAGTCTTGGTACTTCTCAAGTCTTAGTACACATGAAAGATTTGAATTATCATAACTTTGAGGAAAACCAAACTTCCCTAGGACTGCAGCTTAGCGTGTGGCCCCCACAATATCGCGAATAAATGTTGCCAATGAGATGTGCCATGAGGCGGCACATCTCCATATTGTGATACATTTGGAGGAAAGAAAAAAAAATCTAGGTGAGATTTCTTTTGTATAATCCGCAGAACATTTCCTCATATTTGTATTTTTTTTTATTTTTCCTCACTTAACTGGGGACGTGTTTGTATTTTCTTAAAATGTGTTTGAACCAATGTTAAATGACATACCTTGGGAGAGGGAGCACTAAATTTGACAGAAATTTAAATTATCTTCATCTCTACTATGCATAACTGAAGACATTGTATGCCTCCTCATTAAGATCAGGAGATGTTTTTCCTTTAAATACACTAATTTCAGGGGTACTAAGTTTAAGGTTTTGTGAACTACGGCATTGGAACAAGAGATTCTCTGTGTGTGTACATAAAATGTGTGCACATCTATATATGTACGTATGTGTGTAATGTGTATATGTATGTAATCTATGAATTTATGCGCATGTGTAAGTGTACAAGGTATCTAACCATTAGCTTTAGTCACCTCTAAGGATAAGCAAATTGTTGATTTTATAACAAAACTTATTTTACATATTATACAAATCTGTCCAGCCCAATTTAAGAAGGTATTATCTTCAGGTGAAATCTGACTCTTTACCTGACTTAATTTTTTTGTTAAGATAAAGATGTTTGCTCTCTGTGGCAATAGGTGACAAACACCAGTAATACCAGAGCTGCAGAAAGAGAGGGATGTTGAAGTAGAATTATATTTGAAGCTGTTCATACTTACACTGACAGATGACTCTACATTCTAAAATGATATTTGTTGCTGTCTAGTGTGGTTGAATTCAATGGAGTCAACTTCCCATCGTTTAATTAATTTTAATCTTATTCATAATAATATGAAGTTATTCAAGAATGCGTGAAAGCAGTTCCCTTTACCTGTATAAACTGTGTAGGTTGTCTTACAAATATATCCTTGAAAATGAAAGATGCTTATGTAAATCATCTAGAAATTTGATTTTTATTTTATTGCCCATCTATACAATGAAAACATTAATTAATTTAGTAACTTTCTTTAATTTTGTATTTTCCTGTGCATGCAATTTATACTACTAATAATGGACATTATAAAAGCATATTGTATGAAATGTATGTATTTGGTTATTAAGATTTACTCACTCCCTTAAAGTTTTACAGAATTTGTTACTTAAAAATTTTATAAATACCAGGCACTGCTGATATTTTATACACTTTGATAAAATTGGCCTAAGAACTAAAAGGAAAATCACGCCGGGCAGTGGTGGCACACGCCTTTAATCCCAGCACTCCAGAGGCAGAGGCAGGCGGATCTTTGGGAGTTCGAGGACAGCCTGGTCTACAAGAGCTAGTTCTGGGACAGGGACCAAAGCTACAGAGAAACCCTGTCTCGTAAAACAAAAAGAATAAATAAATAAATAAAATAAAATAAAAGGGAAGGAAAACCACGAGTGAGAGAAACAGTAATGCTATTTGAAAAGTTATGTGTTCATAAGGTGAGGTAACTGCACATTGAACTAATCTCTCTTATTATTTACATTTCAACAGGTTTAGGATGTGACAATTCAAGTATCTGGTAACTCACTGGAGTAGCTCAACACCTGTCTCTGCTTCCCATGCTCTTCTCTACAGTGTGAGTATATGTTCACGTTTTCTAATCTGCTTGGTGGTGTGGAAAATGTATTTGGTTTGAAAATAGAGATATTGCATATTTTTTTTGGAAAATTATAAGCTAAAGTTAAAGTTCATTCTAAATACAATAAATTCAGATAATCTGATCTCAGGAGATGTTTTGAAAATTTAAACTTAATACTATTTGAAAGTTATAGCATGAAATAATAGTTATGGTAAAATAATACACTGGCATTCAATTATATGGAATATCTTTAAATTTTTAAACTCGGTATCTTTGCATTCTTAGAAAGAAAGACATAAATATTTTTAGAAAATGTTCTTGATATGCCTTTGATAGATATAATTTGAAATGGAATTTTAAGGTCAAGTCAGTTTCTTATTTTATATTTTGTTCTCTACTAGGTATTTGTTGTAAATGTGTTTAATAATATTGACTAAATGATAGCTACATCACACAGTTATTTATAGAACATATATGCTTTTGTAAGTTCAATTAAAAGAAAAGGAAAAGTGATCAATACAGGGATAAGTTGTTTTTATTGTTCATTTTGCAGGACTGAAAAACAAGTTAAGTCTGGTTTATGGTGCTGTTTTTGTTTGAAGAAGTATTAAGCCTATGTGAAAATTTTTATACTTTCATTTTAATATTTAAAGAAAACCTAAAAGATAGGATTTTGAATGCTTATTCATAATAAGGTGATAACTGTTTCAGGAAAAACATGTGCATAACCTGCTTTGAACACAAAAAAAGTTATACTAGTATGAAAATCAAATAATATCAATCAAATGTATTTCATTTTATGTGTTTATTAGAAATAAAACATTTTAAAAGTGAAGAAAACAAAAGCAGAAGAGGTTTAAGAGGACGGTAAGCTTACTCAAAGGAATAGGAAAAAGTAGGCATCACATTCCTTTCTCCCAGAAAAATGTGAGCCTGCGACAGCAGCACTTCCGTTATTCTAATCCAAACATGCATCATCCGCAAGGTACCAGGAAATGCTACCTCTACATATCAAATTCCACTAAGCCTGGACCCACATTCTGAGCCTTGCTTTTGTTCCCCCTGCCTTTTTCTGGGTGGCTCCTGTGTGAGGTTAGTAGATCTGCGCACTCATAGAGTGAAGGATCCTGACATTTGATCCTTCTGTACAGAAGCAGGACTGGATAGGTGATTAGATTTTGAGAGTTGAAGAAGGTTATAATGTTTGAATTTTTCTTATGACTACATTGAAATTATAAAATGAGGTAGGTGAACTGCATTTCATTCATCTGTTTTATTTTCTCCTCTTATAATCAAAATACAGTTTTTGGAACAGTAGCACTAAGTGCATGCTAAAGACTCATTATTATGGAAATTCAAAGCGGAACAATTACTGTAGAAAAGGGTGTATCCTTTCCTTATATAGGAGAGTGCAGATACTGCATCTATAGTGACAGTTCAGTGAACACAAAGGCAGAGAACAGAACAGCCCATCACTATGGGGTGTCATAACCTCTACACCACCTGGTTCTCAATTCTAATGCTGTGACCCTTTAATACAGTTCCTCATGTTTTGGTGACCTCCAACCACAAAATTATTTTTGTTGGGACTTCAAAACTGTAATTTTGCTACTGTTATGAATCTTAATGTGAATATCTATGATTTTCTTTGGTCTAAGATGACCCTTGTAGAAGGGTCCACTGACGTCTCCAAAGGGTCATGGCAGGCAGATCAGATTGAGAACCACTGCTGTGCAGTAAAACGTCAAAATTTGGAATATAGATTCTACCATTTGAATACTGCCACGCACCGCAGCCCCGGTCTGTGCTCTATGCGCTAGACCTCAGTTCATGAGCTTCAGGCAAGAGGTTGGAGATTGAGAACACAGATGCAGAGACAGACCAACACACAGACCTTCAATCACTTGTACCAAAAGCCCCTCTTTATTATCACCATGTAGGCTTAAATACACTGCAGTCAATGGTCAACAGGTGAAAATCCCATCCTCTGATCCTCTAAGCTAGGCACAGCTTCTAGTAACTTTAATTAGAAGGTTCTAGGAAGGAAGAGCAGCTGAAGGCCAGGACTCATTAGTCCCAACAGAATACCATTTTCAAATGGCTGTAAACTTTCTAAGATCACAAGTGGAACTACCATAAATTAGATACCCTTTGTATAAACATATTATATGACCCAATGATTCCATTTCTATGTATCTACCCAAGAGAAGAGAATACTCATTTTTCACATTAAAAGCATGTAAATATGAATAGCAAATTAATACTTCTTCATAAAAATTTATCAATAATCAAAATGTCATTGGGTGCAGTAACACATGCCTATAAGTCGTGCACTCAAAAGATTGGGGTAAGAGAAAATGTCTTAGGGCAGTGTGGAAAGTTCAAAGCCAGCATGACCCATATATTGCCACTCTGTCTGAAATAAACAAACAAGTGCTGTATTTAACTGCTAAATTGAAGAACAAACTGGAATATCAATAGGATATACTATTCAAGCATAGAAAAGAGCTATTGATTTCACGACTCTCACAAAAGTTTCTGTTTTCTTTTCAATGCTGAGAAATGAATCCAAGGCCTTTCTTGTGTCTGCTAGGCAAGTGCTTTGCCACTGATCTGTATACATAGGCCCCAATGTCTAAATCCCAAATCCATTTCTTCAAGTAAAACAGAAAGCCCCAAATGTCTAATAAGTACTGTGTGATAGCAAGTATCTGAATTCAGGAAAAAAGCAAAACTGAGACAGAAAGAAGCAGATCCATGGTTACCTGGCTTAGATGCTTAACTGGCTATAAGTAATTTTCTGATTGCATGGGGAAATGTGGGACAACATATTATTCTGTATAGTCTTCAACTGTTGGGCAAATTATACAAAAGGCACAAAACTCCTAAATACATTGTTAAGGTATACAGAATACAAATAAAATTGAACAGAATGTGTCTCCAAGACAGAGGGGAAACTGACTTTTGTAATGAATTAGGAATGATATCTTAGTTAAATTTATTTTGGGAAACAGATTTGGGCAACACAAAATCAGAAAAGAATAAGGTTGGATTAACTACATAAAGAGGAGTAGATGTGTTCCTTCCTATTAAATGTTTGTTTTCCCTATACGGAATATAGTTAAGAAATTCTGAAACTATTTTTATGTATTAAATAAAATACATGAATTAATAAAATTTTTGTAGAATTTGCAAGGTTGCTCATGAAAGAAGACAATATTACAAATACAGAAAATATAATGGCTGCGTTGTCACTATGCATGAAATAACAATTAATGAAATAAGAGACTATTGATTTTGAAAAGGGCAAGGAGAATTTTATAAAAGAGTTTGGGGATATGAAACAAAGGTGAAATGATATAATGTGTTGTAATTGTAATACTAAAACAAAAACATTAATTGCCACTGTGAGTTCACTTTTATTTCTATACACAGATACAGAAACAAAGCCATGTGTACATATGAATAAAGTTGCATAACATTAGCTATATCTGTGTAAAGTTTTTAGGAGCAATGACAATATATACCCTGCATATCCCGTTTTCCACTTAAAAATAATACTTGCCTCTAAAGTCCCACAAGACCATAAGAAAGCTATAGACAACTCTTCTCTAGGACAAGGAAAATGGGAGACAATTCTGAAACATTGCAGTGCTAAAAAAACAAACCAAAAAAAGAAAGAAACAAAGAAACAAAGAAAGAAAGAAAGAAACAAAGAAAGAAAGGAAGAAAGAAAAGAGGAGAGCAAAAAGAGAGAAGAGAACTTTCTGGGACATACCAGAAACAAAATTCAATCTGTATGTGTGAGTTTGTAGTAAGTTTTTAGTAATTAATGCTTTAGGCTGCTACAAACAACAGACAGACAGACAGACAGACAGACAGACAAACAAATAAATGGAGATGCAGTTCAGCTGAGAAAACACAGCCCCTGAATTCACCCTCATATAAGTAAGTGTACTAATAAGTAAGATTCAAAATAAATATTCATTCCACAAAAGTTGCACTTATTACATGCAAATACTTCATTCACTTTCCACAAAAAAAAAAAAGCTTAAGTCTACTCCTGGGTGTAGCCCAACTTGACACCTCTTTCACAGAGAACAGAATATGGAAGGAATAGGTGGAAGGTCTAGCTGGCACCATCCTTAAGACTATGATGTTATTAACATTAACATCTCTAGTGACAAACTCTGACGACACTTTCCAACCTGGTGTGATGAGGTAAGTACATCACACTTCTGTGATACCCCCTCTCATGGCCTACAGCTTGAATCTTCTCAGACAACAACAAAAAACATTAAACACAATTAAATAAAAAGAGTTAACTATAAAGTGAGTCACACATCCTCACCTGAATTTTCAAGAGTAATGACAGGAAGAACTGAATATTACAGCTGAAGGCCACAAATAAATTGTCTGACTTATTCAGCTGTCATATTCTGGATTTGATTCTGAAGGAAGAAATGAGTAGAGAGATACAGCTGGCAAAATCTGAAGAAAGCATATAGCTTGCTTAATGTTTTTGTGTTAATTGACTTTTTACAAATGGTCCATGGCCTGTTAACGATTGGAGAAGCTAGAAAGGGGGACAGAAAATGGTCTATATATCTTGTCTTAGAGTTTCTATTGATGGGATAAAATGCCATGACCAAAAGCAACTCAGGGGAGTAAAGGGATTATTCTATCTTACAGTTTTACATCAAGGGCTATGACTGAAGGAAGTCAGTAAAGGAACTCAAACAGGGAAGGAAGCTGGAGGCAGGACCTGATGCATAGAAGTCCATAGAAGGGTGCTGCTTGCTGTCTTGTTTCTCATGGCTTGCTCAGTATTCTTTGTTATAGAACCCAGGAATACAAGCCCAGTGGTGATAACAACTACACTAGGCTGAGCTCTCACACATCAGCCACTAAATAAGAAAATGCAAGAAAGACTTGCCAGTATGGTGGGGGGATTTTCTTAATTTAAGTTTCTGCTTCTAAAATGACTTAGCCATGAT